CGCCCCGCAATTGGGAGCATATACCATACCTATTAATTGAAAGATTCAACATGTCATGATGTCAAGACTTTCCAAATTGATCTAATGTCACCCTGATAAAAATCCCAGCAGGCTGTTATGGTAAACTGACTAACTGATACTAACATCAGTTTGGAAATGTAGGCCGTTAAGATTAGCCAAACGATATTAAAGAAGCAGAACAATTTTGGAAGACCTACACTGTCAGATGTCAAAACCTGTTATACAGGTTTATAGTCTAAACCAGAAATATCAGAGTCCCTCAAGCTGCCACATGTATGACTTTTCCCCTTCTCTCATGTTGTGTTTATAGAGGGTGAAAACCATACTGTGAAAATGGGAACTTTAAGGCCACTGAGGTCCGTGTAGGTGAAACACATCTTACCTTGGGGATGAGGTAGTTTCTGAATTTCACATCATGAGTCACTGCATGGGGCAGGTTGGTGGGGATGAGGTTAATGTATCTCTGGACTTCGTGCACCATGGCATCTGTGTAGGGCATGTGCTTCCTGTCCTGCATGCAGGGGCTCCGCTCTCTGCCAACCACACGCTTAATCTCTTCCTGGACTTTAGCTGGTGAGACACAAGTAAGACTGATGGAAAAAGAGGAAAGTGCATAGCATGTTTACATAGTGATTCAGGGATCCGTGAAGCACTGTGGTGCTCCAACATCATTATAAACATCAGTTATATGCCCAGAAATACACCCAGACATAGAGAAATAATTGCCATAGTAGACACATCGCTGCCCTCTGAGCTAGGCTTAAGATACATCAACCCAGACCTACATATCAGCACCGAGGGTAACATAAACAGAAATGATGAAATGTTTCAAAATATAAGCAGAACGTAAGTCAAGAAATTACAGTCCTTGCAGAAAGAAAAAGAGAAAATGAAGTATTAATTTTATATCAAAATAATATGTTAACTGAAAAGTAATAATGTGTGTTTTGTGTATTTGTATGTTGTGCGTGTGCATTTCAATGGTACACTCTTCATCCTCCAAGTTGCCAGTGTTCCCAATTTGAACATTCTAATAGTTTTTTTCTGAAATGTATGATCTATTTCTGAACAATGATTCTCTCTTTCTATTTCTTACTTACCTATTTTTAGATAATATCTGATTTCCTGGTATGGAAGGTGAGAATTTTCTTCTCCATCCCTACCTCATGCAAAATACATGCAGACACGCACACAATTCCCCTTATCCATTTCCCCAGCATAGTCAGATCACATTTTACATCATTCTGACTCTATAAACAATCCTCTCTGGTAACACTACTATGATTATGCTTCATTTTTGGTACTTTTTTTTTTTTTTTTTAAATCTGGCTGCTGACTTTCAGAAAGCAGGATGGAAAAATAAGCTGAAACTCTGAGTTGCCTGGCTGGACGTGGCTCAGCGGTTGAGCATCGACCTAGGATCCAGGCGATCGGGGTTCGATTCCCGGTCAGGGCACACGCCTGGGTTTCAGGCTTGATCCCCAGTTGGGGGCATGCAGGAGGCAGCCGATCAATGACTCTCTCATCATTGATGTTTCTGTCTCTCTCCCTCTCCCTTCCTCTCTCTGAAATCAATACAGATACATTAAAAAAAAAAGTCCCTGAATTCAAGAAATAGATTCTTACCTAACCTTTCTTTTCAGCCCTACACCTCACTCTATTCGTGTCATTCATTGCCCAGTGTCCCTGAGCATAGGCCTCTCAGGTTTCATTTCTCTACAGAGTAAACCTCCGTCACTGTACAAGGAAAAACAGTTACCTGGTAAAAGGAGCTGTCAAAGGGACCTGAGTAGGGAAAGCAGTCTTTTTCCACCTGTTTCTGTCTCTACCTTCTTTGACACTTGGTACTTCTAAATACCAAAACTTACAGGGATGTAGGTACACAAATAACTTTCTGTAACTTTATTTTTATTGTTTATACTATTACAGATGCCCCCATTGCCCCCCTTTGCCCACCTCGCCCCCCTTCCCTCTGACTATCACCACATTATTGTCTATGCCTATGGATTATGCATGTATGTTCTTTGGCTAATCCCTTCACACCTTCTTCCATCAAGGCCCCCTCCCCTCGGATAGCTGTCAGTATGTTCCATGTATCCATGCCTCTGTTTCTATTTTGTTCATCAGTTTATTTGCTTCATTAGATTNTCTGTGTCCATGGGTTATACATATATGTTCTTTGGCTAATCCCTTCATATTTTTTACCCAGCCCACTCAAACCCCTCCCCTCTGACAGCTGTCAGTCTGTTCCAGGTATCTATGCCTCTGTTTCTATTTTGTTCATCAGTTTATTTTGTTCATTAGATGCCACATATAAGTGAGAAACTATGGTATTTGTCTTTCACTGACTGGCTTATTTCACCAAAGGACCTGAAGAGACACTTCTCCAAAGAGGACATACAGATGGCCAATAGACACATGAGAAAATGCTCAAAGTCACTAATCATCAGAGAGATGCAAATTAAAACCACAGTGAGGTGTCAGCTCACACCTGCCAGAACGGCACAGTCAACAAATCAACAAACGAGTGCTGGCAAGTGTTTCTCCAAGCAAGTGCAGAAAAGGGCACCCCTGTGCACTGCTGGGGGAATGCAGACTAGAGCAGCCACCGTGGAAAACAGGATGGAGCTTCCTCAAAAATTTAAACATGGAGCTGCCTTTTGAGCCAGTGACGCCGTTTCTGGGAACATGCCCTAAAAATCACAGATAACTTTTCCTCGTCATGTAGCTCCCTCTTCTGACGCTGCGTTACAACTTCATTCTCTCTACTGGGTTCATTATCTCCCCTCTACGTCTCTCTGTGTTTCAGGAATTTGTTGAAGATTTGTTGGCTGTTTCCTGACCTCCCCTCATCCAGCTTTAAAAGATGAGTTCTCATTTGTAATAGGTTATAATCATTTTAGTGGGATTTTGACGCAGGACAAAATAATGTGTATTTCTAAACTGCTATGCATAACTGTTAACTCTTTAAAGGTAAATTTCTAACATAAAAGTGCTTTGTAAAAGATCAAATTATTGGCCTCCGCCCCCCAAATTCTTATTTTGGCAATTACCACCTTTCTGGAAACAGACTTCTGAAATAACAAAATTCCTTTATGCAACATCTGAAGCCTGAATGGTAACACATTTCTTGTAAATCTAAATTTTTAGTACACTTTCTAGACTGTGGAATCATCTCAGGCAGCATCACTAAGTCTCTAGGATTTTAACTTATGCTCCAGTAAGAAGAGTTTCCATTAGAACCCTGCATTTTCAGAATGAGGAGAGATCTCCGCAAGATTATACCTACAGTTCAAAGTGAGTAGCCTTTTCATAACAAAACCAATATGCATGCTGGATGTACCTGCTACAAATAACCCCCATGAAATCCAGACTGTGCCTTATTGCTTTTGCTAGTGCCCACCGTTGTCTTCACTCCTCTCAGTCATCCACCTGTATTATAGAAAGATGTCCCAATATTATCCCTTCTTTAAACTTGGAAAAATAAAGCAGGTAAACAGACATTTTAATAATGGCACTTCTCCAAGAGAAACAAGATGGAACGCACTTGCCGTGTCATTCCAACATCTCTCTGAAATTCGCGCTCCCACCATGTGGGGTGTACCTGAGACCTCCGGGTACTTCAGCAGGAGTAGGAGAGCATATCTCAGGGTGGTGCTTGTTGTCTCTGTCCCAGCTCCAAATAAATCAGATACAGTGGTTGTCAGGTTTTCAAAAGTAAACTCCCAGTGTGAATCGTGCTTTTCCTAGGAATAGTTTGATGAAGCTACTTTACAAATTCATTTCCCAGAACTGATGCAAAATAACTCATACTGTTATCAAGTTAAACCAACATATAAACTGCAAGGTGCAATTTTAGAAAAAAGCTACCATATGTTATGGCAGGAGGCTGTTAATTAGCTGATGCAAACATCTTTCTCTGCCGCCTTACCCCTCACTTGCCTAAAAGTTCCATTCAGCGCCTCTTTTGCAGTTATGAGAGCCATGCAGCATAGTTTTTAGCAGTGAGACAGAAGCAGAGGCCTACTGGTGTCACTCCTATTTCCTTCTTATTCAAAACAAAGGAGGAGGTACAGTGGACATCATCTTGGGGCAAAAGGATTTAATCATGAAGAGAGGTCTAGCTCCTAAGTACGGGTGAAGAGAAATGGACAGTATTTGACTCTCTGATGTTTTAGAGCTTCTGTCTATCCCTCCACCGACACATCGCAAGACTCCTTTTATGTGGGGTAAATAAACCCACTATTTTTTACAGTCTTTGTTAATAGGTTTCCTTTTATTTGTAGACAAACACAATCTTAATTAGTAGGAATAGGTGAGGAGGTGAAAGGCTTGTAAATTGAGGACTAAAACCATTGCTAAACAAAATGAGTTAAGTAAATGAAAAACCCTCCCATGTGCAAGTATTGGAAGATTTAATATGGATAACATGGTATACTCCCTGAGGCAATATGAAGATTCAGTGCAACCCATAAAAATTCCAAAGGCCTTTTTGCAGAAATGGAAAAGCCCATCCTCTCAATTCATATGGAAGTATAGGGGAAGGACTCATCTTCCCAATTTGAAAACTTACTACAAAGCCGTCATAATCAAAACAACAAGCTTCTGGCAAAAAGATAAAAACATAGACCAATGGAATAGAATTGAAATCTAGATGTAAACCACAACACCTAAGGCCAATTTATTTTCAACAAGGGTGCCCAGACTATTTAATCCAGAAGAAGAGTCTCTTCAACAAATGGTGCTGAAACCACTGGATAACCACATGGAAATGGGTGAAATTAGACACCCTGCTTCACTCCATATGCAAAATATAACTCAAAATAGATGAAAAACTGAAGTATGAAAGCTAAACCTATAAAACTCTTAGAAGAAAACATGGGGTAAATCTTCACAAATTCAGGCTTTGCGATAGATTGTTAGATTTGACACCAAAGAAAGAAACAAAAAATATATGTAAGTCAGACTTCATCAAAATAAAAATGTTTGTGCATCAAAGGACGTAATCAAGAATGTGAAATGATAACCTACAGAATGGAAGAAAACATTTGCATTTCACATATATATAAAGGTTTATTGCCCCAAATATATAACCAACTCTTACAGTTCAACAACAAAGACAAGCAAAGGACTTGAATGACATTTCTCCAACGAAGATGTACAAATGGGTAACAGCACATGAAAATACGTTCAACATCACTGGTCATCAAGGACACACATATCAAAACCATGAGATACTACTTCATATTAACCAGAACAGCTTTAATAATTACAAAAATTAGAAAATAAGTATTGGTAAGTGTCGAAAAATAGGAACCCTCATACACTGCTGGTGGGAATGTAAACGCTGCAGTCACTGTGGAAAAGTCTGGCTGTTCCTCAAAAGTTAGACATAAAGTTACCATATGTCCCATCAACTCCTCTCCTAGGAATGTACCCAACAAAAATGAAAACATGTCCATGAAGAAGCTTGCACACAAATGGTTATAGCATCATTATTCATAAGAGCCAAAGGTAGACACAACACACATGTCCATCAACAGATGGATAAATAAATTATGGTATGTGCATAAAATGGAATATTATTCAGCCATAAAAAATAACCAAGTGCTGATACATACCACAACTTGATGAGCCTCCAAAACATTATGCTAGGTGACAGAAGCCAGAAACAAAAGGTCACAATGCCATGAGTCCTTTCTATATGATGTATCGATAACAGGCAAATCTGTAGACTATGAGTTAACACATAAAGCAGTGGCAGGAATGAGGGGTGATCATTTAATGGTTGTGGTATATTTTCGCAGAGTGATGGAAAAAATTTGAAATTAGAGAAAGCTAGTAGTTGCACAATATTGTGAATGTGCTAAACACCACTAAATTGCATACTTTAAAGTGGTTAATTGTATGGCATGTGAATTTCACCTCAATTCTTAAAATAGCACCACTCCATGAATTGATCTACAGATTTAACACAATCCCTACCAAAATCCCACTGGCTTCTTTGCAGAACATGACAAGTTTATCCTAAAAGTCATCTGAAAATTCAAAGGACCTAGAATAGCCAAAACAATCTTGAAAAACAATGCTGGAGGACTCACACTTCCTGATTTCAAAACTTACTAAAAAGCTAGGAATTAAGACTGTCAGATGGTGTGCTACTGGCATGAGAACTGACATATAGGTTATTTGGAATAAAATTGAAATTGAACACATAAACCATCACATTTTCAGCCAATTGATTTTTGATTTTTGGTGAAGGTGCCAAGGCAACTCATGTGGGAAAAATAGTCCTTTCAACAAGTGGTGCAGAATTCATGCCTACCGACACCAACTCCATTCCTATGCCAGTTCATTTTATTTTACACTCAATTATGGCTTGTCTCTTCCATCCATCTATTTCTCATCATAGCCTCTGCACCTCTATATACACCATCCACCCATCTGAAATCCCCTTCCCTCTCTTTCACCGTAAATACATTGATGTATTTCCAACCACTGGATATTTCACCTGAGGTGTCATTCTGTCTCTCCTCAGGTAAATTATTAGTTAGTACCTAAAAACAGGATTAATGTAGCCCACTTGTTGAACAATTTACTATTTAACAGTTTAATAGTATATCTTCCATATTGCTTGGTGTGGATTCATGCACACTCTATGTCCTTAAAATGCTCATCAGAATTACTCGCCTGACCACCGAAATATCTCTGGTAGATACGAAAATATATTCAATGAACCACAAGATAAACAAGTGACCAAATAACTGAGTTCTTGGTAATGTTTTACCTGCTGCATTTTGATCAGGAAATAATCGATAAAGTCCCGAGGATTATTAATGTCCAGGGATGCTTGATGTTCCCTTACTTTCTCCATAATGTAATTTTTTATACTAGCAGTATTTTTAAGTAATTTTTTATGACTCCCCGGGAAATAGTCAAGGAGAGCAGGGAAGACGTTGTAGGCCTAGAAGAGAAAAGGGTAGTTTATCAGATAAAAAATGCATAATGACATATACCATATGCTGAGCCCTTGTCAGGAACTGCACTGTCAATATTAATGAACTATGGTCTTTGTTTTGAGGGTAACTTTTATTTTACAAATATGTAATTTTCTACACTGATAACTGTATTTCAAGGAGAGAATTCTGACCAGGGGATCAAAGATGAAAATCGCTTTCTGTGCTCATACATCATGTTTATGGTATAAAAACATTTGTATATCAATGCTCTCACTTTTTACATCCCTTCTGCCTTACAGTCTTGAAGCATGGGATGGCCTGAAATACTATGATTCACATTTGGTAAATGACAACAGAGGGGAAGGGAGCTTGGGCAACCTGATATAGTGCACAAAACTAATCCCTGCTGTTTCTGTTTCTGCCTAGTAGCCTCAGACGTTGAATCTGTATCTTAGAACTGGGAGGGTCCTGACGATACCATGAAACACAGCTCAACATTTTATATATAAAGTAACTGTGCACCAGGGCAGTTAGGTGACCTCTCTAAGACCGCATAGTTATCCTTTAGGCAGAGTACAGAGCACGTCAAATCAGCACAGGGTAAAACTGTGCTTGTTTCTGGTTTGTATACCATATAACCAAGCATTTTGTCATCCCCAAGACAATTACCTTGTCAGGATGCCGACCGAAGCATCAAATGCTCCTGCCCTAGTTAGCGTTTCCTAGCAGCATCTGGGGTCCCCAATATTCTCTGCTCTTGAAGGAGATACCCTCTTCCTCCCTAACTGCATACATTTCTGCCAAGGAATATACTGAGGAAGTCACTAAGTGTTACTCAGATGACAAGACTTGCGGGTAATGGAAGCCTTTCAAGAAGAACCCAGAAGTCCATTTAGTACTATAGGCATGTTTGGGGGAAGTTACCAAAGTACTTTATGGGAAATTGGGCTTTGGAAATTAGAAAAACCCCAGACCAAGTCAATGGGATTGAATTCCATATCTGTATTCTGGGAATGTCTTTTTCGGTCTATCGTTAAAGGGCTCGGCCAAATTCCCAGGTGAGCACTTCATGATGCTGAACTCTGGGAAGGACTGTGGAATTCAGCCATTCACTTCACAGCTTGGTACATGCACAAATTTGGAATTCTTGGAGAAAAGAGCATGAAGGATTCCTCGGGAAGAAACAATCTTGGTCTCACCTGTATCCACGGAGAGTTCAGAATCTCCATATCTTCATGAAATGTTTCCAGTATATCTAGAAAAATTTTATCTTTATAATCAAAACGATTGTGGAAAATAATGGAGCAGATCACATTGCAGGGAGCACAGCCCAGGATAACAGTGGGATCACAGGGTGATGCTAAAGAACCAGAAACAATTTTAAAACACCATTAAAACATACATATGAAACATTTTGCTTATGAAATAACAGGTAAAGGTAAATTTAGAAACTTTAAAGTAATATGTTACCTACAAATTTCCTAACAGCAAAATAGTCAACATGCAAAAATCAATACATCACTTTTACCTTAACCTGAGTATACTATTTCAACCTAGCTAAATTATGGTTTCTAAAAAATACTCAATTTACTGCCCTAGCTGGTTTGCTCCATGGTTAGAGCGTCAGCCTGCGGAATGAAGGGTCCCGGGTTTGATTCTGCCCAAGGGCAGGTACCTACCTCAGTTGCAGGCTTGATTCCCGGCCCTGATCGGGGCGCGTGCAGGAGGCAACCAATCAATGTGTCTCTCTTACATTGATGTTTCTCTCTCTCTTTCTTTCTCTCTTTCTCCCACTTCCACTCTCTCTGAAAAGCAACAGAAAAAAAGCAATGGAAGAGAGCAAGAGAGGGAGAAAGAGAGAGACACTTATGTGAGAGAGAAATATTGATTTGGTTTCCTCCTGTGCCCCCCTGACCGGGGATCAAACCCACAAACCAGGTATGTGCCCTGACAGGGAATTGAACCTGCAACCTTTTGGTGTACAGGTCAACATTCCAACCGACTGAGCCACATGGCCAGGGCTTCATTTTAACCTGATAGGTAGAGGATAATTTGAAAAGCCTTGGGGATTTCTTTGTCTGTATTCACAGGTGAAATATGATTTTCAGTCTTTCCTTTCATGTAGTATGAAAGAAAGAATTTAAAAACAGGGTAATCTGTAATCCAAGCTAAAAATCACAGTTATTTTGACAAGCACTTTTCAGGTCATCACATCTGGCCATGGAAGGCAAATAATTACCATATATTTGTTACCAAAAGCCAATAAAGTTGGGGCAAAGTTTAGCAAACTGAAAACAGAGCCAAATTCCACTTAGAGAAGACAGGGTAAGTAGTTCTTGATATTGGTTGAAATCTAGTTAAATAAAACATTTTATAAGTTGGTGCTTTTTGTATTTTGAAGAATTATAACGTAGCATGTGGTGATGAGAATTGCAGGAAGTCATGCCTCAGCGATGAAAACCATAGATGGCATCATTATTGGCCAGAGCTGTGGGCCTGGGCCCTGAAAGTAACTCTCGGAGATGTCTGGGAGGCTGACCATGCAAATGCAGGCCAATGCAATAAAGGCACATGCCACTTGCCACATGCCTCGTAAGGGTGAGATGCGGGCATTCCCGCCACAGCCCGTGAAATGCTCGGCATAGATAACCCCCATGTGCGCTATAGGAAAACACAGTTCCCTAACTTCTTCAAAACATGACTCAGAACTATTCTTCATGATTTCTGAGTTGAAAACCATCAAAGTTCAGGAGAGACTAGGATTAAATGACCCTTTCTACCCACACTGTGCACGATCATGGGTGTGCCCGATCCTGGGTGTGCCCAATCATGGGTGCGCACATGCAATGAGCACGGACACGCACAGCCTCCCTGGCTCTCTGCTTCAGACCCTCGCTCCGCCACGTGAGGGCTGACACCGCTACGCACAGGAAAGAGGCGGCCGCCCCTGAAATGTGTCCATGGGCGTCAGTGGAGAAGAGAACAGCCTGTTAAGGTCAGAGTTTCGGTGTATGGAATCACCCACCCTTGGTTTTTCTCAGCTCCTCCACGAGGCAGCAGGCTTCCTCTTGAACACAGTGCTCAATGTTCCTCTTCCCCATGCCCAGGTTCCGCAGGGCCATGAGAGAGAAGCGCCGGGTCTCCTTCCATTGCGTGCCATTGCTGAAAAGGATTCCTACAAGGAGGGGAAACAGAAACGGGCAGGGAGGCCTGGGCAAGGGGGAGGAAGCTGGCACTCGGCGGACTGGCCAAGCTCCACAAAGACATGTTCAAATTCCTGTTTTCCACCCTCCACGCCCCTCTTACCAAAGCTGAACGTGCACACATGCACACCTACCAAGTCCTCTGCTATATCTTTCAGTAGCTGGGAAACACCCTCTTCCAGAAAACTCCTCACCCTGGTCAATCAGGGCTTCTTTCACTGCTTCGTATCCATGCAGCACCACCGTGGGCCTCATGCCCAAGTACACTGTGAACACCGGGCCGTAGACTTTTGAGAGCTGGAAAGTAGAAAGGACATTCAAATATTAGCCAAAGAAGTCACTATTTGGCAATATACTGGGCCTGATTCAGAATAATATCATCCTGTTTGTATTCTGTGACACAACCTAAGATATTTCTGAAATTAATACATAAATATAACAGTGATTGTGAATAGCTGCCATTTATGTGCCCAGCAGTGGCCTGGGTTATTTGTATGCATATTACAATTAATCCTCAAAGCAGCAGCAGCAGCAGCAGCGGGTTCATTTGCCCCACTTACCAATAAGGGAGCCGACATCAGAGAATTCCAATGCATTTTCAGCATCCCCAAGCTACCATAGAGAAGACAGGAATTTGAACTGCTTCTTATTCAACCCCTGATCCTTGAGCAATGTATCAATCCCCAACGATCACCAGAGGACCACCCGATACCCAGCTGACTCCTTCAGGGTCACCCACAGAGCTCTTGCCGTCAGAATCACCCCAGATGATCCTAGGCCCAGCCCAGTCACGATCCGCTGTTATTACTAACACAGAAGGAGGGGAGCACCCCAGAGGCAGTGCCAGGACATGTGTCATCTCATGGGCCAACAATTTCTTATACCTGCAGCAGTGCTGGCCACAGCCAGCCACAAAGCTGCTGTCTGTGGCCAAAAGATCCTGTTACCAGCAAGCTGGCCCTGATCACTTTTCTCTTTCGTTCACTGACACTGTTCCTAATCCCAGAGTCTTTTCCCTGACATCAGGCATAATTTGCTTCCTCAGAGAAGTGCAGTTTTCATAGCTATTCTGGACAAAACACTGTGTTTATATAGTAGATGGTTTATTTTTAAATTAAATTTATTGGGGTGACATTGGTTAACAAAATTATATAGGTTTCAAATGTACAATTTTATACATCATCTATGTATTACATTGTGTGCCGCCACCCCAAGTCAAATCTTCTTCCGATGACTCTTTGAATGAAATCTCTAGTCAAAAACACTTCCCTTACCGTTTATCTTCAGCTAAAAATCATAGTAATTGATGGGGAAACTCAAAAGGGCAGCAGCTCTCCCGTCTTTTGCTACTTTATATTTTGATTCTAGCATACAGAGACTTAATGTACCTCACTCATGAAATGCATTAGAATTTTATTTCACTGTTCTTGTGGATGAGAAACCAAAAACAGTACTCCACAGGGAGTATTTGCTTTACAGCAACATATTTTAATAATTTTTAAGCATATATTTCAATAAATATGTTACTTAAAAGTAGATGTTAATTTCCTTACTTTGCAAGCTGCTAGAGAAACATAAACATACTTACGTTGCTGAAGGATCTGCTGATGTTCTTCACACCTAACTGGAGTATGTTTCCAATGATTGGGAGAGGAGTGGGGCCAGGTGGAAGGGTCCCTTTTCCAGAGCTCTGTTTCCATAGGTAAAGGAAAAGCAAACAGGAGAGACAGAGCACCAGGGCCACAACTGGGTCCATTGTAGCTCTCTCTTCTTACTGAGTCCACTGTGAGCTTAAAATCCAAACGTTTTTCACACTCCCTGCTACTCAGCATATGCCTCTCTGACTCAGAGGATGATTGACCACTTAGGTCACTTACTTTTATCTTTTTCTCTCAAAAGGACTTTGGTCCAATGCTCACTGTTACGGTGCCCTACCTTGGATATTCTGGTTTCATAGGTTTGGGGTTAAGCCAAGCTACTGTTATTTATTTTTTTAACATCCCATGTGGTTGAGAACCAGTGAAGTAAATGTTTTTATTTTAAAAATTGCTCAACATTCTTTCCCTGGCTGGGTGGCTCAGTTGGCTGGAGCATTGTCCCATACAGCTAACGCTTGTCGGTTCCATTCCCAGTCAGGGCCCATACGGGAGGCAACCCATTGGTGTTTTTCTCTCTCTCTCTCCCTCTCTTTCTCTTTCCCTGCCCCCTCTTCCCCTCCCTCCCTTTCTCACTCTCTAGAATCAATAAAAACCTATCCTTGGGTGAGGATTTAAAAAAAATTGCTCAACATTCTGGATTCTCAGATTAATGACCAGTTGAGAATTTATAACTTAGGGGGCAATCCTTTTATATTAAAAAAATGTTTATCCGTCAATGCTTTATCAAACACCAGGATACTTTGTCCTTGGAAATGAAAGCCTTTTGAAATATTTTAGTGGACCATACTAACAGCATAAACTAGGGAATGTAATTCATTACTCTGGAATGCCCAAATTGCATAACTAATTAGCTAAGTAAATTTATGCACATTTTAACATCAAACTCTACCCCCACCAAAAAACCCTGAAAAAATAAATTATTAATTTTTATTTTTCAAATGGGGAAATGAAAACTCATAGAGAATGGGACACCCATCCAGTGTCACACAGCTCCTAAGTCACAAAAGTGTGATTGGAAATTATATTTTCTAATGCCCACTGTGATGCCCTACAGCTGCCTCAAGAACAATTCCAGGAAAATAAAACCAAACCCCCAAAACATTAGTTTCTCTAAATATGCACCCCGACTGTTCACAAAATAACTCACTCTGAGGATAAAAGAGCCCTCGATTCTCAAGAGAAGAAATAAGAGATAGAGATCTTCCCCCTCCCCATCTCTCCGTCCCTGCAGAGGCGAACACGCACAGGTACCTGAGGGAGGAGCCCGTGTCAGAGAATTCAGGGGTAAAGGCTCGAAGAGCCAGTCACCTCCCAGTCACTTCTAGACACAGCTGCTTCTGTCGCTTTGTTGGCCTGTCCTTGTCAGAAACAATGGGATGGTGTATGCACAGCCAGGAAGGGAGATTTCAGACAGAACCACAGGTGTGGATTCTGTGGTGGACGGAAGACGGAGGCCACCGAACAGACCCACAGCATGAACCAGCATGGCAGGCAGACCTGGGCAAGGGACCGCATTTAGTGATCACGAGGACCCAAATATCACTGGAATGATGGGCATTACTGGATAGCTAATAGGAATGCTGCACAAAGACACTCTGTAAAGGCACCATCATATCTGTCCTTACTTGATTAGTGCAGCTATTTCTCAGCTCTATTAGGAAGGAAAAGTAAGACCCCCTGTGTCAAGACCCCATTTACACAGTTTTATCCCTCATGTTAACAAGGAGACTGACAGCCCAGCCGGGCGTGGCCCAGCTGTTGAGCATCAACCTAGGATCCCGGAGATTGCGGTTCGATTCCCGGTCAGGGCACATGCCCTGGTCTGTGGGATCCATCCCCAGTCTGAGGCCTGCAGGAGGCAACCAGTCAATGACTCTCTCATCATTGATGTTTCTCTCTCTCTCTCCCTCGCCCTTCCTCTCTCTGAAATCAATAAAGATATATTTTAAAAAATAATAACCAGGAAGACTGACAATTTACAGAATTTTCACATTCATCACACCTCTTTTGATCTAGTCAACTACCTTTGCCAAAAGTAAAATCACACCCATTTGAATGATGAGGCCGCTTGCCTCGAAGTTTCAGCACCTTGGCCAAGGACATAGGTATTGTCCAGCACACTTCCTAACAAGTCAAGATTCAGTTCCAGCAAGATCCCCAGCACTTACGGAGTGTGTACTGTGAATGATTCAGGACTCTGTGACTTACTTTAATCAGTGATTATCAAATAAACACCAACTGAGTCAATACTGCAGCACAGGCTGACTGAACAAGGGTCAGGAAAGTTTAGTTTTGTAACCTCCAGAACTTGAGGGAGTCCAAGTCTTGGCAAACCCTTTATCCAGAACTAAGAACAGCTCTAATTTGCTGCCTGACTCACACAGCTCTGGATTCTACAACAGCCATGCTACCAAATCTTGGATGAAATGAACTCAGTGGCTCTATTTACACATAACCGCATTGATCTTTAAGAAACTCCTTACTTTCTGACACAACCATGTATCCCAGGCTCATCTTGTACTCCTCCTGCCCCAGCTCTCTAACTGCCATTCCTCCAAAGAACCCTGGTTCTTAGTTTAAAATGTGACTGAGAAGTGAAGACCTGTACACTAGATGTGCTCACTATTATGGGGGTCACAGCTACCAGGCTTCTCAGTGAACAGAACTAGGGGATATATGCAGTGTGTATGAATATACACAGGCATGTAGAGATATAACGTGTGTAATACACGTATGCATTTATGTCTACACTTACTACTATATTTATCTACATATTCTGGGCACCATGAACTCACACGGACACATCCTATTCTAACCCACAGGGCTGTTTCCCTTTCTGTATTTATACCTTCCTTTGCTGACAGTGATAAACTTGTCTCCCATTACCCTTAATAATACTTACTTGTTTGATCAATTCCCGTATGGAACCAATCTTCTATTTCTGCCACCAAGCCCTCCCCTGGGTAAGGTTGTTCTGACCCTTCGTGGGCTACAATAATCACACCAGGACACTCCTCCTTGTGGATGCCCCCCTTATCCTGATGAGGAGCTAGTACTCCATGCCAGGCTGTCCCCAGGTGTGAACCCTCCTTGGGCTCTGATACTCCACCCTGGGGCACCCAACTGAGAGGAAGTTCTTCTTACCCTGTCCAGCCTCTGATTCCCCATGCCAAGGTGCCACCCTCACATGGCCACTCTCATCAGCATGAGTGGACTTTAACTCCCCAAACCAGGCAGCTTCCCCTACCTGTCCTTATAGGAGCTGCCTCCTCTCTCCTGACTGTGACACCCATGCTTGACTGCCTGTCCATGAGGGTGCCCTTTTCCCTCTCCTTGACTCTAGGTCCGATTTCAAGGCAGCCTTATTCTCTGTATCAATACCCTCCTCTCCCTACTCAAGCTCTGACACCCCAATAAACAAACAATAATTAAGTAAATCTCAACTGTAAAAATACAAAGAAATTTAAAATGGACATAAGCTTTGAAAAGATAATTCACAAAGAAATAAAAGCATGAGGAGCATGTGCAGAAGTGATCAGCATAGTTACACAGCAGAGGGATACTAGATAGAAAAGTTTAAGTAGAGGAAAGAAAATGCCAAGGGCAGGGTGGAGGGTGTGAGTTCTTTAATGCTTTGGAGCTGCCCACTCAACCCTCTGCTGGCTTGGTCTGCCCAGTTACCTGGCACAGGAGTGATTCTGGGCATCCAGCTGGGTGTGTACTTGTGGCAATCGTGGAAGAGGCTGAAGAGCTATCTGGAGGAACCCACTGACGAGACACAAAATCTCGCTGTCCCTGGATTTCATGGGAGATGGTGGAGGAGGCTGTGATGGCTCAGGTGCTCAGAGCTCTCTAGATCTTTGAATTTATCAGGCATTCAGAAAAAGACGTTTCAGCCTTGGGGGAAGAATATGCAGAAGTGTCTGATGACCTGGACATGTTCAACCTGTGACAAGGTACATCAAGTGCATTGTACCAAAATATCGGGGAAAAGAAAACCCTCAATATTCAGACCAAGAACAGTTCATGAAAATTAGACTCAATTCCATCAAAACAAAATAGGACACATTCAAACAATTGTGGGCACCTGGAAAAAGGCTCAGGGTCTCCACAGTGAGCTCCAGGGCCTGAGTGGAGAGCTCAGTCATGTTTCTGCAGAATGCTGGCTCAGGACCAAAGTCCTGACAGCTTCCTGGGAGGAGGTGGACACATGTAATAAACCTGGAATCACAGGATGATGGGAACGCTGATGACCCATCAAAAGTACCCAGGACACAGAGGGATACTCCAAATTCACAGGCAACATAACAAGGAAAATCCATCCTACACCAAAGTGGCTGAAGAAGAAAAAGCCCACCTGACAGGTCTTCATAAAGATGTCCAGGCTGAGCAAGCCTCAATGAAAGGGGCAGATAAATATCTTGAGGAGGGAGGGAATGAAATGACTGAGCTTTATTAGCAGATACAAGAAGAGTGGCTCAGATTTACCTGTTGGGGCAGAATTGTGACTTGGCAACAAGAAGTGGGAGGTTGTGAAACAATCTGATGAACCTGGAAACCCATGAGATCAAGGCCCACAGAAAACCATTCAAAGGTCTCAAGGAAAAGCTGGGGAGAACCATTTCTTCTTCACAGAGGCAGGTTTCTGGACCTAAAACCTTGTGAAAGTTCAGGAGGAAACTGAATGAAACCATCTACAGAAAAGGGGTTGCAAAGAAAAACCCTAGTTGGGATTAAATGAGCTTTTAGAACTAATTTATTCTCTTGCTCTTTTTCCAGATTCTTGAGTTGAATGCTGTTTGTTTGCTCTTACCCATTACTATCTTTATATAAATATCATTAAAACCATAAACCTTCCTCAAAATTAAGGTTTAACTCTGTAACATATTTTGTCATAGTGTATTTTTAAAAGTTGGTACACATATACAAAATAAAAAATGTTTTTCTTGTGGTTGTTAAATCTTTTATTAGCTTCTAATTTTATTCCACTCTATCCAGAAAAGTCTTTATGCTACTGACCATTTTCAATTTCTTGAAGTTTAGTTTTGGCTGATAACATGACCTATTTTTGTAATATCCCATATAGACTTGCAAAGAA